AATGTTGCTTGGTTGGAACAGCAGCTATGTTAATTATGTCTCTATTTGTTTCTCTGTTTTTGCCACGGGATGTAACTTGGATTTATACAAGCTTCAGTCTGGATCCAGAACACCTGAGAAGAGATGATGCCAACCCCTCAGAGGACCTCAGATGATGCCAACCCTGAAACAACATACAGAACTACCACATTTTGCTATAAGTTTGATTGCATCATATAATAATTGCTGTTAATAGTGTTCATCGTCTGTTTGATTACGTCTTTAATTGATTTTTCCGTACATTTCTGCCATATGTACATTAACTGACAGTCACCACTGATAAGCTACCACTAAATATTGTAGAAACTTAATTTGCTGTAAAGTTGCTTTGCAACGATTTGTATCGTGAAAAGCGCTATACAAATAAACTTGAATTGAATTGAATTGAATTGAATTAAGTGGGTTTTCACAAGGGCCCGACAAGATAAATGTAATGCTCATGTTGTATATTATCATTTCCAATCTGCTGTGAAGCACAGTTGGATCTCTGCATGAATGCCCCTCATGAGCCTCTATATATCGTTTGACACCTCAGTACGGAGGTAAAAGTTCAGCAAGGTGAGATCAGACAGTCTGCCAGCACATAGCACCTGCTGTTTCTAACCAGAGGGAAGGTTTTCACAGAGCAGCACAAGTTTCATCTCTGCTGATACACTTGGGCTGACAGTTGTGACAGAACGCATTAGGAGACAAAAGCCTCAGGTGTGTCTGTCCTTACGGTGGTCATTAAAGGTCAGTCTGGAGGATCACTTTAGAGTGTTCACTGTTACAGCATCAGCACAAAGCAACAGAGCTATTCGGTCATGACGTCAATTTATAGGTCAGTCCGGAAAAGCTAAGGTTGTGTGCTAAACGCTGTGTTTTCCTTCATGAAAAGCCACTTTCACATTTTGTTAAAAAATTATGCGCTGTCATATACAACAAACAGGAATTTTGAATTCTAGGTTTTCTTTAAAAAAGGTAAGTCACTAGCAAATTGCTACATAAGGGCTATAGTCAAGCACATACTGTAACTCATATCCTAGATTAGTGGTTCTCAACCAGGGGGTCCAGTGCCCACGAGGAGGGCCTCAGCAAACTTCCAAGGGGGCCCACAAAATGACTGAAGTAGTTAAATTAATAAATCATTTATATATTAAAATAATATAACTCTAAATGAAAATGCAAAAACCACATCAAATTAAGATGTAGAGGAAATTTTTTTCCCTTCAAACAACAGAGGGCCTTTGAGCACCACTGTCCTTGATAACAGATAGAAAGCTGAGCTTTTAAAGAACACATTTTATTTATAGCCAGTCCCCTCTTTCGCTCTCCCACTTCACTTCTTGAATATTCTCCAACTTTTCAGTCTTCATAAAAGACAAAAAACAAACCCTTTTTTTAAATTAAATTTGAATTTACTCGAATAGACTCATTAGACATTCCAGAGGGAACTCACTGCTGGAAAAGGCTAATTCTCTTCTAGGCTTAAGGACTACAAACATCTCTCAGAGTCTTGGTTAAAACTCTGAATCTAATTTAATTGTGACTATTAAACCAGGCAATCTTTAATTGAATTCTCCTTTTAATTACATTCTACTAACTTAACTACATTATCTGGGTCCTGAAAAAAAGACACTATCATATTTTACTGTTCTGCTCTATATTCAGCTAAGAAGCATGTCTGTGTAAAGTTTCATTTTGCTTAATTCTGGCTGCTTTTTTCACAGCCTCAAATGGATTCCACAATAATTCTCCAATCAACAGCTGTGCTTTTTACCATGCTTAATCAAGCTTAAAGGACAAAAGTGTTTACAGCTGTAACCTCTGCTCCCATGCTCCCTGTAACATGAACTGGCCAAATTTGGATTATATCACAGTTATTTGATGAAACCACAATATGTGACCTGGCTCATTCTCTGCACACATCAGTATACCTCTAATTCCCTTTTATGAAACAAAATGCAAAACATTATAGTGCCTCGGGACTATAACCTGCCTGCTACATGGCAGTAATGGATTTGTTTTAGTAAAATGGAATAGGCGTTTCAACATAGGCGTAACAAATAACACATAATCAGATCTTAGGATATTTTTAAAAAATAAAAAAATAAATATAATCTGTAATACTTTACAATAAGGTCTTATTTGTTAGCATTAGTTAAGGCATTAGCAAACACAAACAAAATGCAATGTAATACATTTTCATGTATATTATATTTATTCATCTTTGATCATGTTAGTTAATAAAAATATAATTATTTGTTGCTTGTTCATGTTCACAGTACATTAATGTTAACATTTTGACCTTTTTTAATGTATTAGAAAATAATGATAGATTAATATATTCTGTAAAAGTATTTTTTATTGTAAGTTCATGTTACCTGATGTAGTTTCTGTATCTACTGTTAACAAATAAAATTATTGTAAAGTGTCAGCAAAAAAATCTTATTTCTCTTCTGCTCTAGCTTGTGTACTAATCTACCATATACTGTATATTAAACTTGGCATTGTACATTATGAATATTGTTGGCTTTTATGACAGATTAACAGAAGCTAAACAAATACAAGTAAAACTGTGAATATGTTTTTAATGGTGAAACTCATTAAAATCTATAAGCCTTAAAAAAAGCAGAGTGAGATTTAAAGCTTAACCTTTTTGAACACCTCTACCCTCAGTCTGTTGGTTTCCAAAACTAGCCTCTTCCTCTCCTCCTCCTTCTTTTTGGTTACCTCAGGGAGTTTGTTGTAAATCCTGCAAGCACAGACTGAGGATGATGAATGCATAATGACATGATGAAAAGTGAGTTGAGGTGCAAGAAGGAAGTGATTCATCTACTTTTCATCCAAACAGACAAACACACATGGAAATATCAAGATATACTGTCCATATATGATACTGACATATATGTCCATATATGCTTTTATCCACTATACTTCATGATCTGGTGGCTTTTATTCAAGCAGAGAGATAAGCAAACACTGTCCTTTTCAGAAAGGGATCATATTGTGCATGATTAGCACTGTTGCATGTGTGATATTATGAGTGTGTGTACACAAAAACTCACCGCCTGGATCTCCATTGCATCTCCTTGCCTGAGATGGCTCTGTCCCTGGGTTTGAAAAGGTTATCTACAAAACACACATACAACAGGGGAATAAAAAATAAAAGTGAAATGGAAAGGTTGTTACAAAGCTTAATATTTAAAGGGGTCATATGATGCAATTTAAATTTTTCCTTTCTCTTTGGAGTGTTACAAGCTCTTGGTGCATAAAGAAGATCTGTAAAGTTGCAAAGACTAAAGTCTCAAATCCAAAGAGATATTCTTTATAAAAGTTCAGAGTCAGCCACACCTACCTAAAACGGCTCGTTCTAACACGCCCCCACATATCTACCTCACTATGTGTGAAGATTTGCGTAACGCCACCCAAATGTTCACGCAAAGAAAGAAGGCATAACTTTTATTCTCACTGTAGTATTTTTGACGCTGCAGCCATGTAGTGAAGACGCTGTGTGTTTCGTTGTGAAAGCGAAACTACTTTGTTTGGTCTTCCAAAAGAGGACGATATCCGCTTCGTCATGCCTAGAGCTGATCCGTGCTGGTCGCTGAGGAAATACATCAACTTTACAGTCCAGCCCGGGGTCCGTCACATGTGGTTGCCGCTCATTCGTCGCATCCGCCGGGCGCGCCGTTCTTGACGCCACCGTCTCAGCTCACTCCATCCCGGCCTCAGCTCACGCTAAGCCGGGGCTT